AACTCGGATAGGAATACTCTCTCATCACTGGCGATACGCGCGTAATCTGTAAATTGCAAAGGCGAATGCGTCCATTCGCGATTGTGATCGCCTCAGATATGCACTGCGAGTCGTGACTCGCATCCGAAATCGCCGTGGAATCTCCGAATAATTAGTTAATTTCATCCCTCGCGATGCACGACAGCCGTAACTAAAGTCTCCGTGTATTTCTCGTTCACACTGAGAAAAAGATTTCTTCAAATTTAGTAAATTTTCAGTGCGTCCAAACAAATTCCATCATCGGCATGCTCAGAAGAAACTAATGTTTCGATTAATAAGCACGATTGTTAGACTTTTCAACGAATATGTATCTTTGTCTTAAATAAAAAATTTGTTTGAGACGAAAGATAATTTTCTTACGAAGAAATTATTTGCTTCATTTTATGTATTTATTGTAACTAAATAATATTTTATTCGGTTGAAAGATATTATTTCAAATAATAGTGTTTTTTCTATTAAATAATAGTGTTTCCTTGAATGAGACGATATAATTTTTACTCAAACAAATAATATTAATATAAATATTTTGTATGAGTATATAGTTGTTTTTGTGAAACAAATTTTAGTCAAATAAATAGAAATATTAAGTCTAAAGAAACATTTTTCTCTGTGTATAGGAATCTAAGTTTTTTGCTGTCGCATTCGACTCCTCTTTCATGGGAAATTTGTCTTTCACGTATCGAGAAACTCACTAATCCACTTGGCACGCGTTGGTGCGAGCGCGTAACGAGAGCTGACTGTATCGGTTAGGTATCAGCTTGTAATCGCATACAAAAAAAAATTCTCGTTCAATAAAGCGATCATTATGGCAGCCATTCTGCAAAAAGCCATAGCTCGCTCGACTGAACGCGCGATGCAATCTCGCTGCGAATAAAACTGTCATCCGAAACGAGCTGCTCCACGTCGGCAGAACGTGGCCTAGCCAGAAAAACTTATTGTTCGCTTTGACAAGAGGGCGTGCGCACGCCCTTCGACTTGTCCGTAAAGAATCTCCAAGAATAAATAATTCAATGGGAAGCCGGCAGGAGCATGACAAGGCCGAAAGAAAAGCTGAGTCGAAATTTTGATGCTACTTTGAAGCTTGTTTTTAGCTCTTAAAGATAGCTTTTACGCCTTTAAAGATAGCTTGCGTCCAAAATTGGACACGATTCGATTAAATTTTTATTTAGTGCGTTATTTAGATTAAATCTTTTTTTTTTATTATTTGCGTTATTTATTGTTTACATTATTCGTTATTCATATTCTATAATTATTCGTTATTCGCATGTCACTGTAATTATTCGTTATTTGCGTTCTTTATCATTCGTCATTTATTGTTGTCGTCATTTATCATTGTGCGGGTGCGCCTATACGTGTGCGTGTTTGTGAACTTATTTCATTGTATTATTTATACAATCGTTATACAGGGGAGAATAGGTAATACCGATCAGTGGGTAATGCTGATTATATCTCGACTGTAGTCGGTACGCACTGAATTCTGTAAGTTTCCGTCCTCTGTGGAGAACCGAAGAAAGCATCAGACAAGACGCAACTATCTTAGCATCGTTCACAGTTGAGCTATTGCAAAAAGTTTGTTTCGTCGTGTCCTGATGTAAGGATTGTTACTAAAGAAGCGTGGAAAGCCGGTACATTTATTCATGCTGAATTATTGGATTATTTTCTGCAATGTCACTTAAACCTTCTAAACATTGCCGACCGACATTATCCTGAAATCGGAGTAATCCCAGTCCAATCTCATATTTCGCTTTATCATTTGTTTTTCTGGTACATATTTTTGTGAAATTTTTTGCATCAGTCTATGTTATAGTAACATCTGTAGGTATTCATTGCATTAAGCGGATCCTAAATCCGACATTTCTTACCAGTTTTATGAAAGTTTCCGCTTAAATGACCGCCACTACCCCGTTTTACCTTATTATTATCCCAGTAATTCAAACAAATTAAAACAATTTCTAACAAATATATTCATTTATTATATTTATAAAAACTTTTTTGTCTTTTGAACCTTTAATTCTACAAATTCTATTTTAATATTACTTCAAACAACTTATTTTGACATCGAAAACAGCGAAAACGAAATTTAAAACATTATCAGCATCAAAATAATAGTAAATTATATTATTAGATTTGAGTAATATTTGAGTAATAAAATATTTTACTATCTTAACTCCTATTGTATTGTAAAATTAAAAGTTTATCATAGAGCAAAAATTACAACCTGGGAGATTAATCCTTCAATAGAAACTTCAGTCGAAACTTCTGGCTCGGAAGACGTTTCGCGAAACAATCAACGGTAAACACGGGTTTCTTATTTTTAAACAAACAGTCACGCTTTTACTTCTTAAGGAAAGCCTATTGAAAATCTCGTTGCCCTCGTAACGTCCCATTGTCAGAATTGAGGATGCAATAAACGCGAGAAGTAAACACGCGACAGCGCGAAATTACTACTTGGGTCGTTTAAGGCGTTTACTACACTCTTGTTGCTCTTATTAGCATAGAAGTGGGCCTCGGTGAAGCTGAGCGATTACATCATCGTTACTCCGAGTATCGTGCGGCTCAATGCCGGACTGCGCGTTGCCTTCACTTTGGCCTTGCTCGCTTTTCGCGCTTACCTAGACCCGTCAGCTGTTGGAGAACGCAACGGGGAGACCTCGCAATTATGCAGATGCCCGTTTAACATTTTAATTAGACGTCAGTGTCTCGCGATCGATTAAAGGAGTGTCGGATATTTTTAAAGTCATTGCGACATCTACTGCACGACAAGATAAAGTAGGAAAGAAATCGCACGAACTTCAACTACTACACAGAGAAAAGGTTTTCTTTAGATTTAGTATTTCTATTTATTTGACAAAAATTTGTTTCATAGAAGCAACATATACAAAATATTATTTATTTGAGTAAAAATGTTATTGTTTCATTCGAAAAAATTCTATTATTTTACAGAAAGAACGCTATTATTTGAAATAATATCTTTCAACAAAATAAAATATTATTTGATTACAATAAGTATGTAAAATGAAACAAATCATTTCTTTATTTTGTAAAAAAATTGTCTTTCGTTTCACACAAATAAATTTTTTATTTAAGATAAAGATACACATATTCGTTGAAAAGTCTAGGAATTGTACTTATTAATCAAAATATTAGTTTCTTTGGAACATGTCAATGATGTAATTTGTTTGAATACAATAAAATTTACTAAATTTGAAGAAATCTTTTTTTCAGTGTATGATTAGTCGACTTTAATAATTCGTCGTTTGAAAACTATCGTAGCCTCGACGTTTTCGTACTTGGATTTTTATTTCCGAATTGTTATCTGAGGAAATCTTCTGTTCTCGAAAGGTTTTTCACGAAAAATAGGAGACGCTCTGCAAAGTAAAAAATTTGGTGTTTAAAACGATTCACAGAAATTTTTACGTTACTTTAACATGGAAATGTGTTAAAAAACACAAATATAGTGTTAAATTAACATATTCACTTTGTTCACATATTACTTTTAAACATATTCACCTTGTTAAAGTGAAACAAAAGTTGGCAGACCACTTTTAACACAAAATTTTTTACTGTGTATATTTATATATTTATATATATGTATAAATGCATAAGTATTAAATGACATTAATATTGTATCAGTATTAAAAATTCATAAATAATGGACACGCGTCTATTAGTTTTATTCTGATTCGTCAGAATCCGTTGGACGCTTCAAAAGCGAATATTTTTAACATAAAATCGTGGATAAAGCAACCCAATGAACAAGTTAAATCAATCTTTTGAAACATTGATTTTGTGTGGATTTTATAAACAGTTTGACATGATACTTTATAAATGTTTTTAAACTATTACTTGATAATATTATGTTCTTAAATATTAAAATTATAGTGTAGAAATAATATTTTTAACGTTTCGATTAAATATTGTTAACAATAATGTTATACGCAACATTAAGAACCATATATTTGAAAACGTTACATATAAAATATCATTGTGATAACGTTTTGTTAACGATTTCTTGCTTATTGTGAGTATATTTACAATACTTGCATTTATCTAAAATCTATATGCGACGAAGGGATGCGAAAACGATAACGTATTGTCATATGTCACCACTTATCTAACAACTTTGACAATAGCCTCAGCTATGTACATAAATATTTATATGTATATATAAAATAGAAATACCGTGATATAAATCTAGCAATTAAAAAGACTGACGTAACGATTGTTTAAGAAATCAGACAAGAGTTATCGCGGTCAGCCAAGTTAGCAATATACGGGATGTTCGTCATTAAGTAGAACGTGAGATATATACTTATAGTTTAGATCAGGGATTGCTAAAGTATGTCTTACAGACATTAATGCAATACCATTTGCAATATTTACTGTATAAACCAAATCCGAAATGCCTCCTAACAGAGCGTCTGTACTGCGGCATAAATCCCGCACGCTAAAAATGCCATATATCCGAAACAGGTGGGATATACAAGTTATCAAGCTAAATGAAGAATACAAGAGCTAAGCATTTGTATTTTGCTATATCCTAACCTTTAATATCCCTTCCCAGTAAACAAGAAACGTTAAATCAATCTTTTGAAACATTGATTTAATGTGGATTTTATGAACATTTTGATGTAATATTTCACAAATGTTTATAAACTGTTACTACTGTAAGGTTTTTCTCCACAAATTGGGGGAAAGCCCTATTTTTCTGGTAGAAATCCTTATTTCTCTATATATCGATACTATATCGCCCCGCTCTAACATGTATGTACTTGTCTCACTTCAACTTATTGCATTAGTTCAGCAGTACAGTTATAAAAAAACAGACCATCAGCTATCGGATGTGTTCCGAAACGCATCGAAATAAGAAACGCCGCGAGCTTCCTTCCACTGGTGATAGAGGCGCTGCGCACATAAGACTCACGGGAAAGCGACCTATGGTCCCTCTCTCGTTCTTTTCTTCGTACTGAACGTGACATACGCGCCATTTTACGTTCGTTGCAGAAGCTTGGTGGCTGAGATCTGATCTTGTATCTCTGTGAACACCACGGTAAGTTTAATTTGTCGAACGAACAGATCCCGATCCTGAGGACGGCCGTGATATTTTTTGTCTCGCCACCACAAATAATGGAACGTGATTCTCACGTAACGTGTTGCCTGTTGTGTGCCGTGACAACGGACGTTTCCTGCGAGAGAGGCGGAAAGCGACTCGCCGCTTCTCCACTCCGTCGGCGAACGCGAAACGATTTCTTTATTAGGTCTCGTATATAGGATATTCTTATGATTTGGAATCGAGTCGGAGAAATAAATGCGCGATCACCGTTGCAAGGTTTACTCCGAGTAAAGTAAATCAAGTAAAGTTGCTTCTCGTTTTCCCCTTTATTTAACCTCACACATCCTTTCTCTCGGTTTCTCCTCGCCCGTGCACGCAGATTCACCCGATAACGTTTTCGACCGAAACAGTTTTCAGTCATTTCACGATCAACGGAAAATAATTTACTCTTACCTGACGAGAGTCCCCCATCCTTTTCTTCCGTACGATCAGCGTGTATTTTTGCAAAGTAAGAAAATCGTTCTTAAAATGTTGATCAACAAAATCTGACGGTTCCGGTATTTTGAAAATTCAAAATAGTCCTAAAACTGCGTTACCAGATTTCTGTTCGGTCAATCGGTCGACGAATATTCCACCAGTGGTGTTCCATCATATTGAGTTGATTACGTTTACATTTACAGACCGCGACAGAATTGCGTTGAATTCAAGTCATGTCGAACGGCAGCGGGGATCACGATGATGAAGGATACGTCGTTAAGATGCGCGGACTTCCATGGTCCACCACTGTGGATGAGATCATGAAGTTCTTTGGTGACTGCTCTATTTCTAACGGTAAAAACGGAGTACACATGACTATGTCGCGTGAAGGACGACCCAGCGGCGAAGCTTATGTAGAAATGGATACTCCGGAGGATATTGAGAAAGCTTGCAAGCGAGACAGAGATCATATGGGTCATCGATACATCGAAGGTTAACTCTTGAAATCAATAATTAATTTTCTAATGACAAGGTGGATCTTCAACAGGAAGGTAGAGTCGGGTCTGACCTTCCATGTTCTATTTTGCTCATTTTGTATATAATTAATATACAAAATGGCTAAAAGAAATGAGTAATAACATGAAACATTCCTTAAGAAAAGAAACAACACGTACATGTTATTAAATAAATGAAGCTATGAAGTCAATCTGACATTCCGCCACCTTAACATTGGTTAACATTAATATTACTTCATTTTAAATATTGATTCTTCTTGTAAAGTACACATTTAGAATATATTTACTTATAAAGTTGAAATTCACGTTTAAAAATTCCTCATCTGTTTTATGATAAAATAATTTGAGTGTTAAAGTTTTAATAAGTACACTAATAATGAAAGTAATTCTATTAATCTTTCTGCAATATATATGTATATGTCACATATTCTTTTCTCAGACTTTTATTTTATAACCAGATTGTGTAATCTATACAATTTTAATTTTAGTATTTAAAGCCAAACGTGGTGAGATGGAATGGGTCGTGAAAAGGAGCGGCCTAAACTTGGAGAACGCGATGGACGACGGTTGTGTGAGATTACGCGGTCTCCCATTTGGTTGCTCGAAAGAGGAAATTGCACAGTTCTTCTCAGGTATTTAGCGTCTGACAATCAAAACTGTCACTGTGTCACTGCTTATTAATTGATACCAAATGTCGATGAGATTTCATTTAATCCTACAAGACAGATATCTGTTCATCTTTTTCAAATAGCTTTCTTCGTTTTCTTTTTATTTTTGTTTTTTAATTTCCCTTTTCATAAGATGAAAATAAATCCAACGTAGACACGATATACAATTCGATGATTATCGTGCAGAACACAGCGACGTAGTGCTTCCGATGGTTTTTTTAATGTAGATAAAAATTACAATTGACATCCTTGTATTAAAAGACTCGAAAGAGATCGCTGAAAGTAATCTCCTTTTGGAAAATAAGTTAATCAGATCGTGCGTGTATTGGATAATCGTTAAAAATTGAATTCCATCCAGAGTTACATCCTTGTGTTCTAGCATTTACGGTTAGCCTCAGTTAAGATTTAAGATCCCGCTGAGATTCGCCATGTTGTGCGTCATGTGATCGCGGCGTGGACTGTGATGTTTACAATTTATACGAACAGAGAACGAACGTTTTTCCTCGTTGCGCGAGTCGAGTGTGATCGAGCTTAATTCTTAACTTTGGTTTCGCACGCGATAATTTCGCCGTTTTTTTCTGTCTACAAAGGAGAAGCATGAAGAAAAAGAAAAGAAAGTAAATGTGAGAGATAAGTGCGCGCGTAATCACGCGCTCAAGTTTATAGAGTGTAAACAGTTTTGCTTCTTTTGTAAGGGCTTCAGTTAAAGAAAAAAAAGAGAAAGACAAAAACACTTGATCATAACTCTTTAACTAATAATGGGCGTCTAAGTTACAATGTCGATGTTTGATTATGTGTGGGTCAGGGTTGGAGATATTGCCGAACGGGATTTCGCTACCTACAGACTACACGGGCCGCAGTACTGGGGAGGCTTACGTTCAATTTGTTAACAAAGATGTTGCGGAGCGCGCTCTGCAGAAACACAAGGAAAAGATAGGACACAGGTGGGGCACTGACGCTAGCTGGGTTTGGGTATACTTACGACTTTTCCATTTATCATTTATTAATGACCGTAGTATACGTAGGTATATACATTTCGTTAGAATATAAATAGTGGGAACAAATTCTCGATTTACGGATGCAGCTTCTTTATCCGGGTCTTTACCGGAGGGCGTTTGTCGCTCTGTTTGTCGCGCGACAGCAACGGCGTAATAACAACGGCACGTTGTCGTCGACATCGTGAGACGGAGATGAGACGGAGATGACGACGGATGTGTAAACGAGTGCGTTGTGTATTCGTGCGTTTTCGACGCGTTCTCGAGTCGCGAAGCGAAATTCTGTGTGTACGCAAATCTATCACGTCTTCGGTGTACAAAGAAACGTACCCTTCGCGAGTAGTCGCGAATTTCGAGTTAAATTCGAGTCGAGATTTGAATCTTTTCTTTCTATTGCGGAGAAAGAGGGCCGCCTCCAGCAGAGGAGGAACCTCTTCCTTGTCAGATATAAAGAAACTGCCTCTCTCTCTCTCTCTCTCTCTCTCTCT